CCACATTCGTTTTCATAATTACTAATATTGATCTTGCTCCCATTAAACGCAAGAATATAATTGTCGATGTTGGGGACTGTTTTCCACTCCAGAGTTATGCTGGTCTCATTTTGTCCATTTTTCTTAAATTCTTCAGTGTTACGAGGAGCTAGAATAGAAAAACACACAAAGAAGAAACTGTAACAACATTTTCTGTCAGAAACAGAAACATGGAGCGAGGCTTCAGTTTCAGTATTTTTATCAGTCCTTTTGAAAAATATTAGGTGAGCTACACTCTTCTGTTTCTGAGAAACCTTAAACATCATTATAGAGCTCTGCCCTTGTTCATGTTGTAGAGGAGCATCAACTGTGGAACATTTTAAAGGACTATGACTGTTTTAGATGTTTTTAATCTGTTAACCTCCACCAGGTTAGCAGTAAGCAGTCTAGGATTATAGGTCGGGTTAGTATTTGACATATTCAAATTGGAAAATTTGACAAATGTTTATGTTATTATTCTGTAGGATGTATTCTGGGATGTTTTTAACCTTGTTCCACCCAGATGTATACTGCATCTCATTTTGATGCACCACAGTCACATTATTAACACTTTGTGGAGCTAAAGATAACAGAGGAAAGTGGTTTGATACACAAAAAAACACACAAAAAAAACAACAACTCTCCATCAGCCAAAGTTTCAAGTACTAATGAGCCGGTCCATCCTGGTTTATCTATCTATGTTAGAGAAAATATATCTTACCAGTGACTGCGATGCAGTTTACTCCACTGCTTCTGACATTTCCAAACACAGTGAAGAGAGTGAAATTGTATCTGGTTCCACTGGTCAAATCTAACACTCTGTATTCTTCTGTAGAATTACTAATGTTGATCTTGCTCCTTTCATTAAACGCAAGAATGTAATTGTCGATGTTGGGGACTGTTTTCCACTCCAGAGTTATGCTGGTCTCATTTTGTCCATTTTTCTTAAAGTCGTCAGCATTACGAGGAGCTAGAATAGAAAAACGCACAAACAAGAAACTGTAACAACATTTTCTGTCAGAAACAGAAACATGGAGCGAGGCTTCAGTTTCAGTATTTTTATCTGTCCTTTTGAAAAATATTAGGTGAGCTACACTCTTCTAGTTTCTGAGAAACCTTAAACATCATTATAGAGCTCTGCCCTTGTTCATGTTGTAGAGGAGCATCAACTGTGGAACATTTTAAAGGACTATGACTGTTTTAGATGTTTTTAATCTGTTAACCTCCACCAGGTTAGCAGTAAGCAGTCTAGGATTATAGGTCGGGTTAGTATTTGACATATTCAAATTGGAAAATTTGACAAATGTTTATGTTATTATTCTGTAGGATGTATTCTGGGATGTTTTTAACCTTGTTCCACTCCAGTGGTATACTCATCTCATTTTGATGCACCACAGTCACATTATTAACACTTTGTGGAGCTAAAGATAACAGAGGAAAGTGGCTTTGATTAAAAAACACACAAAAAAAACAACAACTCTCCATCAGCCAAAGTTTCAAGTACTAATGAGCCGGTCCATCCTGGTTTATCTATCTATGTTAGAGAAAATATATCTCACCAGTGAACTGCGATGCAGTTTACTCCACTGCTTCTGACATTTCCAAACACAGTGAAGAGAGTGAAATTGTATCTGGTTCCACTGGTCAAATCTAACACTCTGTATTCTTTTTCAGAATTACTAATGTTGATCTTGCTCCCATTAAACACAAGAATGTAATTGTCGATGTTGGGGACTGTTTTCCACCCCAGAGTTATGCTGGTCTCATCTTGTCCATTTTTCTTAAATCGTCAGCATTACGAGGAGCTAGAATAGAAAAACGCACAAACAAGAAACTGTAACAACATTTTCTGTCAGAAACAGAAACATGGAGCGAGGCTTCAGTTTCAGTATTTTTATCTGTCCTTTTGAAAAATATTAGGTGAGCTACACTCTTCTGTTTCTGAGAAACCTTAAACATCATTATAGAGCTCTGCCCTTGTTCATGTTGTAGAGGAGCATCAACTGTGGAACATTTTAAAGGACTATGACTGTTTTAGATGTTTTTAATCTGTTAACCTCCACCAGGTTAGCAGTAAGCAGTCTAGGATTATAGGTCGGGTTAGTATTTGACATATTCAAATTGGAAAATTTGACAAATGTTTATGTTATTATTCTGTAGGATGTATTCTGGGATGTTTTTAACCTTGTCCACTCCAGTGGTATACTCATCTCATTTTGATGCACCACAGTACATTATTAACACTTTGTGGAGCTAAAGATAACAGAGGAAAGTGGCTTTGATTAAAAACACACACAAAAAAAACAACAACTCTCCATCAGCCAAAGTTTCAAGTACTAATGAGCCGGTCCATCCTGGTTTATCTATCTATGTTAGAGAAAATATATCTTACCAGTGACTGCGATGCAGTTTACTCCACTGCTTCTGACATTTCCAAACACAGTGAAGAGAGTGAAATTGTATCTGGTTCCACTGGTCAAATCTAACACTCTGTATTCTTTTTCAGAATTACTAATGTTGATCTTGCTCCCATTAAACGCAAGAATGTAATTGTCGATGTTGGGGACTGTTTTCCACTCCAGAGTTATGCTGGTCTCATCTTGTCCATTTTTCTTAAAGTCGTCAGCATTACGAGGAGCTAGAATAGAAAAACGCACAAACAAGAAACTGTAACAACATTTTCTGTCAGAAACAGAAACATGGAGCGAGGCTTCAGTTTCAGTATTTTTATCTGTCCTTTTGAAAAATATTAGGTGAGCTACACTCTTCTATTTCTGAGAAACCTTAAACATCATTATAGAGCTCTGCCCTTGTTCATGTTGTAGAGGAGCATCAACTGTGGAACATTTTAAAGGACTATGACTGTTTTAGATGTTTTTAATCTGTTAACCTCCACCAGGTTAGCAGTAAGCAGTCTAGGATTATAGGTCGGGTTAGTATTTGACATATTCAAATTGGAAAATTTGACAAATGTTTATGTTATTATTCTGTAGGATGTATTCTGGGATGTTTTTAACCTTGTTCCACTCCAGTGGTATACTCATCTCATTTTGATGCACCACAGTCACATTATTAACACTTTGTGGAGCTAAAGATAACAGAGGAAAGTGGCTTTGATTAAAAACACACACAAAAAAAACAACAACTCTCCATCAGCTAAAGTTTCAAGTACTAATGAGCCGGTCCATCCTGGTTTATCTATCTATGTTAGAGAAAATATATCTTACCAGTGACTGCGATGCAGTTTACTCCACTGCTTCTGACATTTCCAAACACAGTGAAGAGAGTGAAATTGTATCTGGTTCCACTGGTCAAACTACATCGTATTCTTTTTTACGAATTACTAATGCTGATCTCTCTTTCATTAAACGCAAGAATATAATTGTCGATGTTGGGGACTGTTTTCCACCTCCAGAGTTATGCTGGTCTCATTTTGTCCATTTTTCTTAAATTCGTCAGCATTACGAGGAGCTAGAATAGAAAAACGCACAAAGAAGAAACTGTAAACAATGTTCCCAACAACATCTTGTATTTTGTGTATGTTTTAATTAGACTGAACATTTTGTTCAGTGCTCACTAACCTGTCACAGCACTGAATCTGTATCCACTGCTGTTGAGTCCCTCAGACGTAGTGAAGAGAATGAATGTGTAGTTTGTCCCAGCAGTCAGAGAAGTGACCACATGTACTATGGGTCCTTCTTCAGTTTTATTAATATCTTGTGTTATATTACCATATTGCAGGATGTATGTTGGGATGTTGTTAACCTTGTTCCAGGTCAGAGTTATACTGTTCTCATTTTGTGTGGTCACATCCACTCTGTCAACATTATCTGGAGCTGAAAAAGAAAAGAGGACACACAGTGGTTGTAGTTCAAAAAAAGTTTAAAAAAGAACAAGAACTGAAGCACTGACTATACTGCTTTCACTCCTTTTTTGTTACATCGTCAGGAGCTGTGATGATTTGAGAGTGGTGTTCACCTTTTACCACAATAAAAACCCAGAATGACATTCACTTCAGTTTTACCGATCACCAACAAAAGTCTAGTATAGTGTTTCATTCTTACGGGCTTTTGCTGTTGTAGATGTAGATGTAGTTGTTTGTTCTGTTGAAGTCTGTGGAGTGGGATTTGTTTGAGCCAGTGGAGTAAATGTTTGTGTTGTTTGAGTTAGTGGAGAGGTTTTTTGTGTTGTACCTGTCAGCAGATTGGTTCTTAGTCTTGTGCTTGTTTCTGTTTTTGCTGTACTTTTCTGTCCTGCTGTCACTGTCGTCGTCACTGTTGATGTGATTATTTTAGTGGAGTCAGTTGTGCCCTAAAAGCAGAAAAAGAGTGAAAACTACAGAATCTAAAATCTGTGAAAAAAAATCACCATTGAATACCCAGTTAACATGAGTCTGTGGCAGTCTCACAGAGCGATGTTTGCTGCTTTTAATTTCACATCTACATTATATCATAAACATTATGTGAACAGTAATACTTCGAGATATCCTCTGAGCTTTCTGCTTTATAAGAACAAAAACTTTCACTAAAAATAAAAAAAAATGATGTGCAGGAAACAATTAAGTCAGTGTCAAATTATTTTAGCATTTTATGTGTCAGCTTCTACAACTAGCAACATCTATAACATAAAAATCACAGAGCTGGCAAAAAATCTATTAATTAAGTGTTTGCTTTGACTAAAAATGCAAATCATATGTATTATTATATTGTATATTATAGCTACAGTTACTTACAGTTACTGGCCTAT